CAAATGGGCACGTGATTTTGGCGCGTAGAAATTCTGTCCGGTTGACTTCGATCCACCGCAATAGAAGGAGCGAGACGAAACGATTGCTTTAACAAAGAAAATTTTTTACCGTATTCGGTCAAGGAAAAGGGACCTTTACTCCTTTTTCCGCCTTGACATTATAAGAGATGTAATCCTTGGCTAGTTTGAGGTGAGTTGTTTGACCATCATCATAACAAGAATTGTGCAAAGTTGTGTGTGTGTGTGTTACCTTTTGAACCAAGCGCTTCACTCGATGGCTGTATCACCTTACCCCCATAGTTGTTTAAATTACCACCCAGCGCCACCTATCAACATTTTTATGTACTAGGTTGTATTTTCTCTGCTAGAGGGCGCTTTTCGCCGAAAGTATCCAAACGTTTCAAAAACGTTGAATAGCACCAGAACAACAGGATACGTCACTAATAGAAAATTTTTTATACCCCCAAGCTTTGGTCCGTGACCTGGGAACTATCCCTTTAGTCGGCAGTTGACCCGTGTGCACACTCCCTATAGTCGGGAGTTAACCCATAAGATGTGCACACTCCCTATGGTCGGCAGTAGACCCGTAACGTGTGCACACTCCCTATAGTCGGAAGTTAACCCATAAGATGTGCACACTCCCTATAGTCGACAATAGACCCGTAACGTGTGCACACTCCGTATAGTCGGCAGTTAACCTGTAACGTATGCACACTCCGTATAGTCGGCAATACACCCGTAACGTGTGCACATTCCTTATAGTTGACCCGTAAGGTGTGCTCACTCCCTATAGTCTGGACTAGACTCGGAACCTGTGCGGCACGCCCATTAAAGTCGACAGTTGACCCAGAACCTGGACGGAACACGCTCCATAGTCGACAGTCAACCTGTAACATGTGCACGCCCCCTGTAGTCTACAGTAGCCCCAGAATCTGGGCAAACTCGCTATAGTTGGCTTATGAACCTATAATTTTGATTTAGAGGGATCAACTGACCTGTGACCTAAGCATAAGCAAAACCGTACCTGTAGGTGACTGCTGGACTGGATACCTTTACATAGATTTGTCACATGACGTGTGACCTAAGCGCATATAAATATTGCCAAACCTGTGACGTAGGCAAATGACTTATAGTCATCACATAACTTGGGACACACGCTAAAGTCATAAGGTGACCTCGACACACCCCTTAGAGTCGTCGATTGGTCTCTTACCGTAACGATTTGTTCTGTTACTCATAAGTTCTTTAATTAGACAAATTTAGTTATTAAACTAAATTTATACTTAATTATAATTATTTATTTTTTTTAAATAATGCCTTGGAATTTTTGAAAAATGGTACATCATGCTAAAGGTCCACGTTCTCTTTGCTTTGTGTGGATGTCATTCAGCAAATGCTTAGTTATGAATCAAAATCCTCTCTATGCTGCAGCCCGCATCGCGGGCTTTGGAGACTAGTCTGATAGATTTGCCTTGCTACGGATCTGCTTAAACCTGCACGCTAAAAAATCCGGTAATAAATTCTTAATACCACATATTACCGCTTATGTGGTAAGCTTAGGTATTACCATCAGCGGCAGAATGGTAACGCTGTATTACCACTTCTTTCACCAATTGGTAGGAAAAACTACCAGCCTGATTAAGTTGAGAGTCTCAATTCGTCCACCACCGCGGCAACGCAGTATTTAGTCTCATGCCAAAATTGGGGTGTTACTGCGCAGTAAGTATGACTCTACCAGCATGGTAGAGTCATAAATGTTTACGGCGTGGTAACAAAATTTCTTAGAGTGTATGAGCGTTCCCATGGAAATAAATATAAAGCAACTATTGTGACATTTCTCTCCTCATTCTTGTTTAAGCCGTCGGGTGGAATATTTCGGACGCATTGAAAACTTTTAGGAGAAAGAAAAAATTGCCATGTCCATCATCATTGTTGCCTTGTAAGGGCACATTTCTTAATATACATTTAATAACACTTGGTTAATAAGTAACGAATTAATAAATAACTGCAGTAAATATATGTTCGTACATAATAAACAATGCTGAAAATCGGAAGTTCGTATACATCATAGGATACAAAAATGAATTTGGTAAGATTCGTAGAGATTTTAAATAAGATAAAAAAATTACGGATCTTCTGGTGCTTGTAGGATTTTGACATACCGTTTTTAATAATCGCGTCCCCCATTACGGTCGATTACAATTCTCGTCCCCACTCCCCGCGGGCAAGGGGCAGAGTAAAAACAATTATTGGTACCGTTGACTTTACACAAATCAGCTCTACAAATCTTATCAAAATCAATTTTATGTAGTTGTCTCTCGAACTTCCGGTTTTTATTGTGGTACAATACAAAATTAACGAAATGTTGCCTTTGCTTGATATGTAGATTGGCCACTTTCACCTTGCGGGATTCCGACCCGGGCATTTTTTCCCAGCAAGATTACCTCTCCAAGCTGGACTCCTTCCATCTCCAAATCGGCGGGCTGAATGAGTCTGAACTAGCCAACTTGCGATTTCTAGCTGAACCCTTGGAAACCAGCGTTGTGCAAAAATTCGGTGCCTGGTCGGGAAACTGGGTCGTCGAGGTGGCACAAGAGGGGCACGATTCTGAGAGAATGAGGCTCCTCGCGACGCCCCCGCTGAAGCATGCCGCCCCGTTTCTCGCCTGCATTAAGACGTGGGGCTACCAAATCACGTTTTACCAAAGTTACCAAGAAAAACAAGAGTTCCTTCAGCAAGGCTGTATTTCAACCGAGATGACGCCGTCCATCGTGCATTCCTGGATTTTGGAGAAGAAGTGATTTATTTATCCGTTTCATTCTACATTTCGCCGTACTAATTCATTAAAGACCTAAGTGCCGTCGATGTTTAATTCAGAAAAGAGCTAAATGTACCGAGATAAAGTAAAAAAAAAAGACCTATGTGCAAGTAGGTATGTATTTACTTATGGCTATATCATGCCAAAATGATTCCTCCTATATCTCGGGATTTAGCTATATGTAAGTAAATACTTGCATATAGGTCTTTTTACCTTTTTTCTGTACTTTTAGATCTTTTCTGAGTTAAGCATCTACTGCACTTAGGTCTTTAACGAATTAGTACGACGATTTTGGTTTAAAATTTTTCCAAAATTGGCAAAATTATGTTTGATCATGAATTAGAGTTACTTAAGCGTAAAATTCGTACAGGTACATACATATATTTATACTTTAGTACTTTAGCGATTTAATTTATTTTGAAGAAAATTGCATGGAATCTGAGAAAGTATATTTATGATGAATGTAACATTAACTCTTGGAAATGCTTACTTTTTCCTCAGTTCTCTGGAAATTTGAAACATTTTTAATTGGTTTATTCACTTTACGATTATTATTAAACCTAAGTATTTAAGATGTAAAATTTTCATTAAATCGTCCCAATTTTTTTGATAGATATGTATTAAACAAAATATGCTGAGTTGGATTATTGTAGAATCCAGGTCTTATGTTTATATGGACATCTTATGTATCATCCATCCGCCTACTTCCACTCACCATCTGTTGGCTCCACCAATCACGGCATGGATACGATTATGGTTACAATTTCGGTTACAATTTGAGTTACACCCTTGGGTACAACATCTGGTACAGCATTGGTTACAAAGTATGGTACACCCTTGGGTACCAGTTTGGGTATAGCTTCAGTTACAATTTCGGCAAAGTTAAAACGTTAAACACAATCCTTAGCAACGTTAAAAAATTATTTGGCAACGTTAAAAAATTCCTTAGCAACGTTAAAAAATCCTCAGCAACGTAAAATACTGCTTAGCAACCTTAAATAAATCGACTTCATGTACATGTACATTAGTTTAAATATATTGGAGTTAAAAATAATATATAAGTACATGAAATCCATGAAATACATATGTAATACATACTTACATATGTACTTCTAAACATTTGTATTTTCAATTTAAATAAATTTTAGTAACATATTAGCGGAATTTATAATTCCACCCCCACATGCTTGGATCTTGTTGAAGAAGATATTTTCCCGAAACAGAACGCAAAGATGGTGGCAAATCGACGATCCCATTGCTTTCAGTGTAGGTCTCGTGCTTGGCGTAATGATCCTATAAAAATGTTGAGTGATATCGCAGTATTCCCCAACAATTTGGGTTGTTCTCTGCCCACGGTTGTATGGGCGGGAACTTGTGGCTTGTTTTTGACCCCTTTATCTCTGGCATGTCTTGTTTTAATGAAACCGGGTTTTTGGTTTAAGAGACCACTTTCAAATGCGAAGAAAATCGAGCTCCTTGACTACGTTTTCGTACATTTTTTTTGTATCAGCTTAAATATCTTGATGATAAGTGTGGTTGATTTTCTTTTCAACGTGAGGGCCCAAGGAATTTTGTATTTAGGGTATTTATTTGTACCGATGGTATTGTCGTCTGTGTCTGGAAGTTTGGTTTACCTCGGGGCCTATTGCATTATTGTTTTTGTGGTATGAGTGGAATTTATGGAATTGAGAAGTATTAATGGATTGATTTAAGCTGAATTATCTAATTAAGGAATAATACACACGTGGGAAGAAATACACATTATAAGTGTTTCTAAATTGTTGTTGAAATTGCTCTACACACTTTGTTTCGAGTTATTAATTTCGTATACAATTTAATTTTTAAGGTAGATATATATGTACAATGAAATAGAGTTTTTCCGCGCTCTAACGACTATCGACTTTTATAGCTTAAAATTTACATGAAGAGTCCGTAATAATATTGGGGAAAGGGATCCATTATTGGTTTTCGAGATCTGAGCAAAAATATGCGAATTTTTGGTTAATTCAACTAGCTTTTTGTCAAAATCGTCAAAATTTGGTAACCCACCACTGAAAATAATTTTATAAATTCATGTCTGACATCGAAATTATAATATAAATGCAAATCGGTACAAATGTGTATCCATATTTGCGTATGCTATTCTTATGCGGCGTGACAATGAAAATATTAGCAGATAATAATTATGCGCCATGTATATTTATTAACCGAACTACACTCAGCTCTGAAAATACAGATTTTCACCACCAAAACTAACATTCAACCTTCATACGTATCAACGTATCCGTCTCACGCCTGGCAGAATTGCTCCCCTGAAAATATAAATTCTCATTAGACAATACACCTTTCCAAAATCTCATCATCCAAATTACCCGTTGTAGCAACAATCCAATCCAAATAACTGGTCACTCTAACAAATATATTCGGAAAATTCGTATTGCATCCCGCCGCGACATTACTCGTCACCCCGACGGCATACGACCTCCCATTCTTCACTAAGTCCACACTACCACCCGAATCCCCACTACAGCCAGACTTCCCACTTTCTCTAGTACAAAGACCATGTGGTGGCCATGCTGCGCCAAACATGGGTCGACAAATTTCCTCCGGTAAAATAGTCACGTCCGCCTTATTCAGTCTTAGAGAGGCTGATAGGCCTCCGGAAACCGTTGTACCCCAGCCAGATATCTTTGCCCTGAGAAAATCAAGATTTTCCCCTTGTAACGAAAATGGTAGACAGGCCGGTTGGACGGTTGGACTGAATGCGATCTTATTCTTGAGATGGACCAACGCAATATCATTTGCTCTAGCGCGGCTGTCCCAACGTGGGTGACTTATCCAACGATCAGCTTGCACCCGATAACTTGCCGCTTCAGAGGTTGTTCCCAGGTCAAGATCACCTACATCAACGAGCAGGATGTCAGTCGGTGTGACGATATCAGTGCAATGGGCGGCTGTCATGATCCAATTGGCAGAAATGATAGTACAAGTGCAGAAAACACCCAAATCCCCCCATCGTTTTATGTAGAGATTGCAACGCCACGGGATTTCGCCCAGGGCTGCGTTGGATCCACCGATGATCTTTGTATGTCTGATGGAAGGCTGCATCCAAAACAGGAAAATCTTGTTAATAATTACTGCGTTCCCTTTTTTGAGGTAAGATAACTTTATACCGTTCCGCACGAACAGCTAGGTTGTGGTTGGGTAGTGGAGGGTGGAGGGTCTGGCCTGGTTGTTGGCACGATAGTATTGTTGGCACCTGAACCTAATATAGGACATGTAATAAGTAATTCAAATTTTCATATTAGACAACCACAATCGAGGCGAATGGGCGACCTTGGCAAAGGCATTAGAGTCGATTGGGCTACGCAAAGCTAACGAGAATTAAATTCCATTGAACAATCATCGCGCGCAGTACCTATTTTGTTTGCTAAACTTGGCAAACGTAATCTGACGTCATCCAAAAATGTAATTTTTATCAGTTTTATAATCGTTACATGTTTTACCCACCCGATACTTTCTGTATCAAACAAAACAAGTTTTTTATTTTGTTCTATCCGCTTTTATCACTTTGAATAGGATTAAAAATATTTACAATATTTATAAAAACCGAAAGTTTGTTAATTGAAATAGTACAGGAACTATTTATCTAATACTAAAGAAAATGTTTCTCTTATAAAAGTTTTTATACCAAATGTTAATTTTTAATTGCTCTTTAATACGCATTCGAGGTTTGCATTTATCACACTTTAGGTTTCGCTGCCCTAAACAAACATATTACCCTTCCTCAATTTCTTATGCTCCCAAAAACACCATATCAAGGGCACCAAAATCTTCATCAATCTTGCAAACGCCGTCATGTCATGTTTCTAACCTGGACTCGACGCCGCCACCTTGTTCATGCAGAGAGGTCGCACGGTCACAGTTTCGCAATATTGTTGACTCCAGCCACCCTTGGCAAGATCAAAATGGAGGCAACTTGCAGTATTTTCCACTGTGATTGGTTCCCCATTTATCCAAAAATGCGGTCCAGTGAAGGTTTGTCCAGGTTTGGGAACAAGCTTCCCATCCTCCAGCCAACGCCATAGCCTTCCATCGCCAAGTTTATTCCCAGACAGCCAAAAGGACCCCCATTCTGCAAGGTATTCAAATTTCTTAGGAGAGGAGGGTCGCACATAGAGACTCTCTCTTGGTAATAAGATTTTAACAGATGAAAGATATATTTCAGCTTAATTATTTAGCCAAAGTTTTAGATTCACTGGGGGGTGGTTACGGAGATTTTTACCTTAAAATTCGGAAAAACAGGGAAAACCGGAGTCTCACCATTAGGGTATCGAAGGAGTATTGCAACCCGTAGAATACGAATATACATAGGTTTTGGAATCTAGGACCACCCCCTGAGATTCCAAACTCGAAGAAATGTTTTTAGTTTTTCATAGATAATGCAACGCAGATTTCCTATCCAATGCAGTAATTGCATAACTCAGGAGCCACCCAAAAGCAAGTTGAAAAACTTGCCCAAAGTTTCATTTGTTAAATTACAATATCTGTACAAAATCAGAGTCAGCAAAGCAAGTCCGTCCTCCTCAGATTCATAACGTAGTCCCGATTTATCAAATAATTAACTGATAATCAAATAATATTTATCAAACATGTGTACCGTTCGCTCGGACAACATCCTTGGCCCAGTTGGTGATCACCAGTTGGTCAGATGCACTTTCCACCGAGGCAAGTTGTAGCCCATAGCTTTTACAGAACTTCATTGCAGATGGCCAATTCATTGGCGTGTTTTGAGCAAAGAATTGCTTAACGTGGGATGGTCCGTTGGAGGTTCCGATCGGGGTCACCCTGGTCCCCAGATTTTGCCCGGAAACGAGGCATGCTACTGTTGAGAGAAAAAGAAAAATATTCATTCCACTATAATTCCCCATGTCTGGGCTGCAACCTGCCTCAAATTTTATACCGAATGCAGTAGAGAGATTTGTAGATATTTATACACTTTCAGCATCCGTTAGTCTGTTTGCGTTGCATATTTGCTTCAGCTCGCCATATGTCACTGGGTGTGCGTCATTTTGGTTTTTCAGGTACACAATCTATTTACCAGTCAAGTAGCATAAATTCACTATTAGAAAGCTGCTAAAGTCACGCTGCTACTGAGAATGGAGGTCTTCCAACGTATGCTCACAGATTTCGACAAAACTGTCGCCAATCGGTCACACAAATGATTAGTGTGAAATTTGCAAATGGCACTATCTGCCAATGCCCAGGTTTGGCGGAAATATTTGCATCCAAAGCGGGAAAAATACGCAGCAAATTTGGAAAATGTAAAATTTGCCAGCTTTGGGGGTACGTTTTCTCCTCTTTTTATGCAAATATCTCTGCTTACCTTGAGAATTGGAAGATAGTGCCATTTGCAAATTTCATACTAATTATATTTGTGATCGATTGACGCTAGTTTGGTCCAAATCTGTGCACACGTTGGGAGACCTCCATTGTTAGTTTGTGGGATTAAATTTGATGCCAGTTTGATATGTCCGAATTTGATACCAATTTCCAATAATATTTTGCCATTAAAAATGTTTCACCGTTATGTTAGAACTTTAATACAGAGTTACATATTATTGCACGCTATTAAGTACATACTTATCGCTACCGTCACAGATGAATACCGCTAGCTATTATTATTTTATTACCGGATTTATATGAGTGTATGACATTGAATAATCAAATGGTATTAAGTTGCAATCCGTTACAGATGCTTTAGTGCCTCATTCCGTAGCAATGCAAATTTACACAATTCCAGCAGCTAATTGCAAATATACATTGGATAATTCAATATATTTTTGTGTACATATCTGCTCTGCATATTTGCACTCCTAATACGTGAAAATCAATGCCAGAGCACAATCTAGAGTATTCGCCCTGGGAAGTGTTGATAAGTTTGTATGCAAATCAGGCCCGTACCGACGATGCTTCTAGGTGGAGCGCCTGCTCCAGGCCGGACGGCCCGATGGGCCGTACCGGCTGTCACTGTACACTAGATATTATTGACCTCCAGAACCAGTATCTGAATTAATGACTAGCAGGGGAACCTTAAGTACCGTCACACCTAAATTTCCTTCCGAATAGCCTTAATCGACAGATAATTTAGATTACATTTAGATTGTATTTATATTTAACATGCGGTGCAAAAGCACGTTTCGGCGATATTTTTGGTGAGAGCTAAACCAAAATGTTTATTTTTCTAATGCTTTTAACATAGCCAGCAGAATAGTGAATGAAGAAATGAAGTTTATCGACTATCGAAATATGTACAAAACGTCCGTAATTTATGCTTATTATGAATATGCAAAAAGTGATCCACATAATTTTAATTTTTTTGCAAATTGCAAAGTTTTGCAAATTACAATTAACGATTTTTTGCATTTTTAGGGCATTTTTATTTTTTTGAGTCAGGGCTTATAGAACCGGTCTGTCCGTCTGTCTGATTCACGATAACTCTGGTTAAGCTTATCCGATCGAGTTGGAATTTCGCACACGTGAAGTATGGGCCAAATGAGGAGTAAAGTTTGAAGATGGGCGAAATCGGTCAAGTGGTTGACCGGTGGGGGTCATCGGAGTGGGTGGGGTATTATGCACCAAAATTTCAAAATTGTAGTAGAAAGGCTAAATTTGACATGGACCTCCATAATGGTTTATAATGAAAGAATAAAAAATTTTGAAATTCAAATTTCGAGACAATTGGATTTTTTGCGAGTTTTTGAAATTTATTAAAATTATAAACTCTTTCAAATTTTTAATTTTTCAAAAAATAATGCATTTGGATTTTTAACAAGTCAAGTAAGTCATTCTGAAGAGACATGTTTTCGAATTTTTGGATTCGCGCTAAAATTCGAAAATTTACAGACTTTTTAAAAACCGAGGTTTTGGCTGAAAAATGTTTAAAAATTCGCGCCTCGCGGTCAAATTAGCGCATTAGGAAAAATGAAAAAATACGGGTATGCTTATTTTTTGCGGTGAACAAAATAAAATTGGTCCCAACCCGATCTGAGTTGTACACGTAAAAGACTTGCATTGTAAGTGCCGTAAGGTAAATATCTGATTAATACAAGTAGTTTCATGCATTTATCCATTACTTACTAGACAATACTATCGGTGTTTTGTCGATTTTTGTTTACTGGTCGTACTCGTCAAATTTAACTGGTGAAATTGTTAGTTACATGGTCTTTGCATGCAGCTCAAAATTTTAGGAGCAATAACTTAAGTTCTGAAATAAAAACAAATTATCGATATATTTCTCCAAACATTTTCTCCATGCTATTTTTTACAACGGCCGGACTAGGAGTTAACGCTCCAGGTCGTACAAATCCACGGTACGCCACTGATGCAAATAAATAATAGTTACGCTTTGTATCTATGTAAATACTTATGATACCAGATCTGAAACTGACAATGGAAGTCCCCCAACGTATGCTCACAGATTTGGATCAAACGATCGTCAATTGTGCGCAAATGTAATTAGTTTGAAATTTGCAAATGGAACTATCTGCCAGCTTGTTGTCATTTTGGTCGATGTATGTCCTCATCCGAGAAATTGTTGCATAAGTTGATATTTTAGGGAAACGTCGTCTAGTTTTAAACAATTTATTTGACTTAACACTGTCGTAAAACTTTAAATCTTTATCTTTTCTTCGAGATTATAATTATTATAAACTATTATTACTTTCAATCTCCCATTCCTGCGATGATGATTCTTCGGAAATTGTGTCGGTTTGAGCTGCACTGTCACCGTAAATGTCAATTTCATCGTCACTGGAAATTTCCAATGCATCGAGCGTTTCACATGTACTAGTTGAAAAATTAAGTAATTTTTTTAATAAAATCAGTCGTTCACTTGCTAAGTCGTTAAGATTTAAGCCACTGTCAATTATCCAGCGGGTACTCCAGCGGTGCCATATTTTAGTTTTATTAATTCTAGTAACAATTCGCACACTTTAATGATTTTCGCCATATTTTGAGTGGTAATTGCTAAGATGATTACTTAATTGAACAATTTTCAGAGAATTTTTAACAAAAGAGAAAGAGCAGATGACTAAAATAACAATAGGATTTAAGTATTTGGTGCGCAAACTGGGCAAACTGATCTTACCACTTCGCACAATGCCATCAACATGCATCAATTTTTTTCATTCACTTAACTAAATTTTCTTACAATTAATTAAATTTCAAGTAAACATAAGTTACTAAATTTATCAAACATAAGTTACTGATGGATTTCCTTGGGTCACACAGATAATAATAACCGTCACAGGTGGTTAATGTATATTGGGGGGCACGACCGCCCCCATCTCCACCCGCTCCCACTCTGCCTATTCCGCCCCCACTTTCGCCAACTTTGAAGACTATTAAAAAATTAGCAAATTGGTTTTGCAGAAAAATTTTTGCACTTTGCAATCAAAACATATCATGGTGCATACGAAAAGTTAAATTAGAACTCATTTTTCAACTATCATAGAAAAGGTATCCCTAGTTAGTGGAAACCAGTACTCCATTTCGAATTATAACATTTCGAATTATAGCCGGGTTGTCCGATTTCACGAAACCCGGTTATGAACCGTGTTTGACTTAAGAGAAAACCGGATCTACAATTTTCGAAAAAGGCTATTTCCTCAAAAACCCATTTCCACCGACTCCGATACAGGTTATCGATTTTTAACAATTTACCATTCACGTCTATAAATACTCAAAAGGACATTTTATCCAAGGAATATATTTTTTCAGACACGTCTGGGTTTCAGCTCTAGACGTATCATCCATGTCTAAACCAGAATATCATAAACTTGCGGTTTAAAGTAATTAAACGAAATGCCAAGTCTTCAATATGAAGACTATGTAGTAAACTATTTAGTATGTGATTCAAAAATATATACGAAACAAAACATTGGCACGGCTTTAAGCTCAACTTTAACGATTACGGTGCGGAAAACCAATTTAGTATAATTTTAAAATCGATAATAACGTGAATACCTAAAATTAACGAACTTTTTCTTGTCTAAATTAGTTGTGTGACACAACTTTTGAACCCATCAAATGAGTTTCATGCTTTGCGATACACCGGAAAATATGTGGTGCCCCTCAATAAATAAGGACACACTTTTAAAATGAAGTTTTGCCACCTACTTACATACATGCGCTCAAATGGAATAAATATTAATGATACCACAACAGTTTCGCGTTCTAGTACACTTGGTTCTGACTTTTTTCAGAGGTATCAATAGCTTTCTTATCGGTTTCCTCACTTGGACAATATTTAAGAAAGAAAACTAGGATAAATAAATAGTTCGAGACCAACCCTTCTACGCATTCAGTAATTAGCGTAGCATCGCCAGATTGCATATTGCACAAGATTTAGTGTTATTAGCAACAATCACAGCCACATCAACATATTGTACGATGACATAAACGTTCTGGTGAGGTTTAACGAACGCCTATTAGCTTATGGCTCTTGCCTATAGGCAGGAGAGGTAGGACAGGTATATTTTGACTACGCAGGTTGAGATAGGTTCTATTTGGACAGCTACAATTGCATAATACTACTTATCAGTAGCGTTAATTCAAATCACTGGCTTGGAGACAACACGTATCACTCGTCATCATGTACCGTTCCGGGATCTTTTAGCCCAGATAAGAGTCAGCTTCTGCCTTGTTCAGGCACTGACCATCCCCAAATAGACAACTATCCAGTACGCTGATATTGATTTACCAAAACATCTAGCCACTACCTAATTTCGAGTGGTACACGTTTGACCCATAATCAGGGAGCATCTGCTGGGAATCTTTCATTGTTAGTATAACACCGGTTGTTAAAGTTTTCCATATAAATCTTTATTTTCCCGGCGCTGAAATTAAAACAGTTTTGAAGAATACAGAGATGAAACAGTACTTGAGACTCC